GACCAACTTTTGCTCTTGCTTTTGGTCGGGTGGAGCAGGAGCAGTGGGCAGAGGTGGTGCCATTGATGCGGACGTGCCCGATGCTTTCTGGGGCAGAAAAAGAAGATTAAGCTCGCCTTACGTCAAGCAGGTATTTAAAAAGATTTATAGCTCTTTAAACGTAGCGCCCTTTAATTACCATAGTGTTTCTTTCATGATTTTAACTAATTCTGAGTGTATTTTATAAACCTTAAAATAACACCTTCTGCCTAACAGACTCATAAACCATTAGACAAAGAGCCCTTGACGCCTGTCTCACACTTAACACATCTAACAGGAGACCCTCCCCATAACCAAACAAAACATCAAAATAACGTACCAAAAGTAGTCCTTGCTAACATTAAAAATACAACTCAACCCTATCCATAAACCCCCAATTTTATTTCCTCCAACACCAAATACTCTTCAAATTCTAAATCAAAAACTCTTAAAAAAAACAATAAAAGCCATCAAAACATACTTCAAATATAGAAAAGCCTAAACATATAAATATTTGTCAAAGCCCACAAAAAATATAAAACAATCTAATCAATATCCTATATTAAAAAAACTATACAAATTAGTACCATTTGTAATGTAATATAAATAAAAATCTTTTATTAAGAAACATATCTCCCAATAAATAAAACAACCCTGTAAAGACGTAATAATCATAAATCTAAAATTTCTCCAAAACCAAAAGACTTAAAAAACCTTCAATATTTATACATAATAAAAATAACAGAAATAATAAGAATATGTTAAGTCTTTATAAAATCAAACAAAATTAAATGTCAATACATTTAAATAAATACATTAAGTTTCTTTTTATCACTTTAATGTTCTATTAAAATTAAGTTTATTATTCCTTACTATGAAAATTCATTCAGTCTAAATTTAAATGTTATTTAATATAACTTATCCTAAATTTTATTAAAAATCATTTATCTAAACTATAAAGTATATGGTTAATTTTCTTAAAAAAATAAAGCAACTCCAATTAAAACAACTAAAATAAAACACTAACAAACACCTATTCAGAAGTAAAAGAAACACAGTTTATTGTATCATCAATTTCATTGAAAATTCTGTTCTTCATCACAATCTATTTTTATCTTTTATAAATAACACCAAAAAATAGTAATTGCTATTAATATCACACTATTTTACAATTTTTACTTTATTTCCTTAATATGTAAATATTTTTAAGTTATCCTAACTTCTTCAAACTCCTACTATACAATTATATAAGTATATTAATTTTTATAATAAACATTATTTATAAAATATTATCATAATGTTTACAACCAACTTTCATAGACTTTATCATCTCTTTATATAATTATCTAAGAAACACATACAATTTCTAAATCCTACTTTTTTTCTCTATTTATACATCTCTTAAACCAAGTTAACTAATCTCTACACTAACTCTATAATTTAACCTAATGTTATGTCACACTTTCAAATATTTTCAAAATTCAAAACAAAAGACAAATGCCTCCTCCAAACTGTTCATCTTATCACTTTCCTCAGTTATTATTGCAAAATCACTTGAATAAAAAATCCAACTACAACATTAATTTATTTTTCTGTTTCACACTAAGTAATCGCTCTCTCATACATTTTCTCCACCTTCACACTCTCAATATTCAAATCCAAATTCACAATCCTTTCCATAACCACTTTCAAATCTTAAAAAAAAGTTTATTATATTCAAAGCATCTCTATTCTAAAAAACTTTTTAAAAAATCCAATTATTTAATAATGTAATTCATCTTTAATCCTAACATTTTTGCTCTTAATATATTGTTATATAATGTTTTTAAAAACAGTAGTTAAGTAACATCCACTGATTAAAATTTAAACTATAACCAAACCCTAACTCTACCTAAATAAATTAATTAGCAACAAACCCAAGTGTCTTCTACATCAAAAATAAAATTCAAGTAATTTTAACTTAACAACTTTATCAGTATAACAAATTTATTTTTAAAATAAACTTAAAAACTCATTATCCACACATAATTATCCAAGTCTCCACTAATTTAACATTTATCAACTATTATAAACTCTAAAATAATGTACAATCTTTTAATACTTACTAATTATATAATTTCACCTATGTTACTAATTATAGATATTATCTAAGTAAATCCTAATTATTATCAATTTCTTCTTCACTACATACATTATTTTACTCTTATATTTCTTCATACCTATAACTAAAAAATTATAATAATAACTTACCTCGCAAATCTCTTGCCAATTTTATAAAATAAAATGTAACAATACTTTATTTCTCATATCAAAACATAAAGTTTACTTATATCTCAACAAGTACAAAAACCCAAGTAAATTTCAATAGGAAACATAAAACCAGATCACACAAAAAACACACCCACCACTCCACAAATAAAAAAAACCAATGTAAATACAAACATAAATTACTCTATATAAATACAGATGTAAAGTACACAAATGTAAAATACACAAGAATTGCAACTTACACATAACATCTTGTACGACACCCACAAAAAACTATAAGCTTTATGTTTCTTTATAAATATAAAAATCAATATTATAAATATCTTATTTAATAACTTAGAAATTATAAAATTCTATCAAGTATTATATTTCTACTCTATTTACTTTATTTACTTTTAATTATATCACTTTACCAATTAAC